TCTCACAACTGCTCAATGGAGATGTGGCATTTTAATGTGAATCCCCCGTGGCAGGCCTGTGAAAGGCTATCGCTGTAGAACCCTTGTAAGTACGACAAAGTTCTTCGACTGAAAATACTGTCGGCCACGGACATTCTGGTACGAAAATGGAGAATAAAACGCATTCGTCCAAGAACAACAGTATAGGGACTTCCACAGCGGTGTTCTAGTCAGGGAACACTTTGAACCGAACAAACAAGTTTTTAGTTGCTCCAAGACCTTCTTAATAGCGAAGAGTTTTTTCGTTGGTGGTTGGTGAATACAGACTAACTAGGTATGGTGCGAGGACGCAGCCATTTTCCACTGCGCCACTGATTACGAAATCATTCGGGGTATTTTCGCAGTTCCGAATTTAATACCCGTTCGCAATGCAAGGAGCTTTGACGTGGTTGACAAATTTGTCATCCATGGGACAAACCGCAACGCCTTCCTAGTGGCTGGGTGAAGAGATCAGAAAACGTTGGCAGTTTGTAGAATTGCCGGTTTCGCTCGCGACACCTCCATTATGTAGAATTCCGCATGCACTCGTAAACAGACGGTGGTTTTCCGGCTTTGGCAGATCTCCTTCCCCATTGTACACAACATTTTACATTTAGAATGTCATCCCTTCTGAAAAGTCATGGAACATAGTACAGCTGTCTTACTGCATCTCGCAAAGCTCAAAAAGTCTGAAAGACCTTAAAGTTTGATCGCAGCTAGTTGGATGAATCTGTGACTGCCTTTCGCTCGTGCTCAACCCGCAACATCTGCGCAGCGCTTGCAGACGTTTTTCCTGGATCGTCGATTCTCCCGGCCTAAACTCCTCCAAGAACATGACGTCCGCTTCCGTCGTTTCATGACGCCCGCTTCCGTCGTTTCTTTCGTTTTCCGGTTTTAGGCCATGTTTCTGAGTGGATAATTTTGTTATATCTTGGCCGATGTCTTATTTGGCTCAAATAAACATATCATGGCCGGTTACATGGTGCTCAGGAGGGATGTTGGGATGCTACATGGATTTCCCTGGTCCTAGTGACTATTCCACGAGGTAGTCCATCACCAAACAGCCCACAGCCACTTGCATCTCGTCTGTAACGTCTTAACGATGGTTTCCCAGGTGACGCAACACCTTCAAGTGGATTGCCAAACTTGGCTGATTGATCCACCACTCCCCAATCTGCAGACAAACAGTACATCAAAGCTACCAACATTAGGACATTGGGAACAACTCTGGGTGTCGTACACATTCTGATGATGGGAGTCTCTTTTTCTGTCTGAGAGTCCCAAAATCTCATCGGCTACACCCAGCAACCGCACAAATTTCTTCTGCCACACAGCGCTACCTACCTTATCGACGAATCTGGAATTCAGCAAGAAGATCAGTGTAACGATCGCTTGGCTAATTATTAGGGATGCTCAGAACTGTCTGAGTAAGTAAGGCGAAGCGCCACTAAAACATATAATTGCACGCCTTGGAACAAAATCTTCAAATACCTTGCAACATCTCAGTGTAGCAACATTTGGAAAAGGAAGTTGCATCGGCAAATTACTACCCTAGGTTTCTCGTGCCCCATAAAAACAACAGCAAGTGTAGCAATTAACGAAGCGAAATTCGTTTCCGTACGCGATCAGTACAAGGAAAACAGAATCCTTATAGGAGAACTGCACCATAGTATCATAGATGCTACAGACTGGAGTATTTTCCAGCTTATAAGCGGTAAGAACAGGGCCTCAATTTGTCTTTTAAGCCATTACAAGCAGCAGAACAGAAGAATAGATGGACCGTCGGGGAAATTGACGAAACCATTGTCACTTACCATTTTACAGATAATTATGTGCACCTTCTCCCACATTACTCGCATGGAATTCCAAATACTCCATGGGGCCTACGTCAGACCGCTCCTGGAATACGCCAACCAAGTTGTCCACTCAGGACGCACGAAAGACTTCACCCTCATTGAGCATTCCAGCTAGCCGCTACGAGAATCGTTGCCAGCCTCAAATCCGTGGACTACGAAACGCGTCTCGCGGTGCTTGACCTCTTTTCCCCGGAGTGTAGTCACCTCCGAGGGGAACTAATTCTTAATTATGCCCTGTCTGAACAAAGCTTGGCCAACAGATTTTCACAATTTCACCACGGCGGCGACACGTTAAGAAGATTTCCAAGCTCGGAGCACACATTCATCGGGCAATTTTTTCCTATTCCAGGTAGTAGCTTCATAGAATGACCTTCCACGCTCCTTCTAGAACCAAGTTCAAAGCACTATTAGATACCTACTTGTGTGAGTCCTCGCTCTGGCAAACATACTGCCCCGCGCTAAAAACATATAGAGGAGTTCTGTGCCATTTTTTCACCTTTGCCTTTTAGATGAACGACGGCCGCTGAAGGACAAGAACAAAACCGACCCGGGGAACCTGGAAAAAAGCCTTGATCATGTGTATCAACCGTGAATCCATGAATTGTAACCTTATAATGGACGCTCGGTGGCCATCATGGACCAACCGGACTTCATTAACAAATCAGAAGTTCAGGGCAAGTACATATGTTGCAGGCTGGGAAACCACCAATCCAAAAATCTGCTAAACAACCTCAACAGAATCTTCAGAGAATGGTGGGGCTTGGTTCAATCAACAATCCCTAGGAACCAGTGAAATGTACTCCAAACCCAGTCTTGAGCTGTCCGGCTGATTTTCAGCCGTGTCGGGTTTTGCTTTGGATTTTACTGAATGCGATTTGCTAATCACATGACTATTTATGACTCAGCTTACTTGGTATCCGAAATGAGTGTCCTGACGTTCAAAATGGTAACACGTCACCAAAGACCATATTTTTAAATCGCCGTTCAGGTATCTATAATGGCTTTACAACGTATATCACTTCCACGTAACGACTTCAGCGTCAGAAGTAGGTTATCACATGGCCGTTAGTAGCCCACGTTAGACTACTCTGCGCAGAAACTGTCCGGACGCTGATGGCCGTGCGGATTCGGTACATCTAGCCTGATCACCTGCTGGGTCCTTCATTTCCTCAAGATTATTTGGATCACAGGTAAGTCAGCCACGCGTCCACTGTACCATGCATTGTTCTAGAGACTTGTTTGGTCTTGCCGCGATTTTCTTGTCTGATTGAGAGTTGATGGGTCTTGCCTGACAACAAAAAATGACAGACCGTCCATTTAGTCCACAACGTGACCGGAACGACGTCAGTGAAAACACATTCACATTCACTCTACCAGGGCAATTCGATTCAACATACGCTCCCCTATATCGCGGCACGGTTTCATACTTTTCACCGATTTGATCCTCAAATCCGTGGACTGCAAACCCCGTCTCGCGGTGCCTGATCTCTTTCCTCTGGAGTATCGTCGCCTCCAAGGGGACCTTATTCTTACTTATGCCCTGTCTGAACAAAGCTTGGCCAACAGATTTTCACAATTTCACCACGGCGGCGACACGTTAAGAAGATTTCCAAGCTCGGAGCACACATTCATCGGGCAATTTTTTCCTATTCCGGGTAGTAGCTTCATGGAATGACCTTCCCTGACGGTTGTCCACGCTCCTTCTAGAACCAAGTTCAAAGCACTATTAGATACCTACTTGTGTGAGTCCTCGCTCTGGCAAACATACTGCCCCGCGCTAAAAACATATAGAGGAGTTCTGTGCCATTTTTTCACCTTTGCCTTTTAGATGAACGACGGCCGCTGAAGGACAAGAACAAAACCGACCCGGGGAACCTGGAAAAAAGCCTTGATCCTGTGTATCAATCCGTGAATCCATGAATTGTAACCTTATAATGGACGCTCGGTGGCCATCATGGACCAACCGGACTTCATTAACAAATCAGAAGTTCAGGGCAAGTACATATGTTGCAGGCTGGGAAACCACCAATCCAAAAATCTGCTAAACAACCTCAACAGAATCTTCAGAGAATGGTGGGGCTTGGTTCAATCAACAATCCCTAGGAACCAGTGAAATGTACTCCAAACCCAGTCTTGAGCTGTCCGGCTGATTTTCAGCCGTGTCGGGTTTTGCTTTGGATTTTACTGAATGCGATTTGCTAATCACATGACTATTTATGACTCAGCTTACTTGGTATCCGAAATGAATGTCCTGACGTTCAAAATGGTAACACGTCACCAAAGACCATATTTTTAAATCGCCGTTCAGGTATCTATAATGGCTTTACAACGTATATCACTTCCACGTAACGACTTCAGCGTCAGAAGTAGGTTATCACATGGCCGTTAGTAGCACACGTTAGACTACTCTGCGCAGAAACTGTCCGGACGCTGATGGCCGTGCGGATTCGGTACATCTAGCCTGATCACCTGCTGGGTCCTTCATTTCCTCAAGATTATTTGGATCACAGGTAAGTCAGCCACGCGTCCACTGTACCATGCATTGTTCTAGAGACTTGTTTGGTCTTGCCGCGATTTTCTTGTCTGATTGAGAGTTGATGGGTCTTGCCTGACAACAAAAAATGACAGACCGTCCATTTAGTCCACAACGTGACCGGAACGACGTCAGTGAAAACACATTCACATTCACTCTACCAGGGCAATTCGATTCAACATACGCTCCCCTATATCGCGGCACGGTTTCATACTTTTCACCGATTTGATGTGCTGAATGCAGATCAGCGACACGTCAGTAAAGAGTTTGAAGGAACCGCGTGGCTTGAGGAGCACGTGTGGTTTGTTCCACCTACGATATCCACTTCATCATTTAGGATCTACGTTTGAATAGCGTTCAGCAACATTGAGACCATTCGGACTGATCGTTGTGATTGTATTGCAGTGACCCGATATCATATGAGTCCTCTTTGTACTAAGCCCAGATAGCAATCATTGTTCCTGCACTCCAAGCTTCACAGTAAGTGTTTTCGGTACACAAAGTGAGATTTTGAAAAATTTCAAATAAACGTACACCCTTTGTCAGATGGGAAATCTGAAACATTTGTAATCCCAAAAATGGCGTCTTACCTGTATTATGTATTGATTTGCATGCCAAGACAAGTGAAGCCTATGGAAGTTCACTATCAGCTTGGGCATTTCCTGCATGGCATCACATGATATGTCTCCCCCCTCGTTCGTTATGGCCCAATTACCGCTGAAAAGACGGTTAACGAATGGTGGAGGAAGATATGACCTAGCGGAGCCGGTGTCCAGGAGCGCTGAGAAGTTCTCGATCAAGACAGTGCCATCTTCGCAAGTAATACTAAAAATGGAAACGTCAGTTGTGCCCACGTATACGGTTATCATCAATATGTACGTAAATTTTTGAAAGGCGTTTGTCACACGATAACCGAATAACGTTCCAGCACTGACAGTTGACGAGGTGAGCAACCAGTTTGGTTAGGACTACTCCTCGCGAAGACGGTAAACACCTCGTGTGAGTTCAGCATCACGACATACCCCACAGATCTGCATAGAGATTGGGATCGTCGACCATCGTGTTATTAACAGAGAGCAACAGTTTTCGTTCACCAGTAGCCAATCAAACGCTCGACAAGGTCACTCATCGATCAGGCATGCAGATCGCATGATGCGGTCCTTTGTTCAGGATTTTAAACCGTTAGCAAATAACCGGTCTATCACTTGTAGTCGAAAGCCATAATACCACGATAAGTTTTGAGTAAAATGCACAAAATATCATGGGTCTGGTTGCACAGTGGACAACCTAATTCGAGGTCCGCGGCGAGAGAGTTGGATTTCTCAGACCACCGAGAGGGCAGAAATTGATTATCACTGACAGCAATGCAGAAGACTACCACGCTGACAAGCTGTCATCATCGACGCTTTTACTAATCAAGTAACAGCGAGTGTAGCACGCTGTCAACCGATGATCCCAACTCGTACTTTTCCACGTATATTTTGTGCGTCAGAACTAACTTCGTAAGT